CATAGAGAAGTCAGAGCTGCTACTTGTAGGCCAGCAGCGCCTTCAGTAAGCGTGGCTGCCAAAATGAGGAAGGAATTCTACACCCCAAGTAGTCACCGTATGTGCCCTGAAGGGGATGAGCGCAGGTCGTTTGAATATAGCTTGGCTTGGCTCACAGGGGTTCTGTCCATCCACGCTTAGCGAATAATCAGTCTCAGTCGAAGGACCTCGTGCTATAAAGTTCCATAATAGCCTTGCTACAATTCACCAGAACTATTCAACCTCCTTTGTGTCGCGCAAAGTGCAGACGCTCAAAAATAGTGCAGAGGCTGTCTTTGTGCTGTCGTGATAAGGAGCGTTCGTTTGCCGCCTGGACATCGGCCTACCGTAGTCTCTTCAAGATAATATTATCAGTCTAGGCTGTCCTTGAAGCACACGTCGAAATTCCTCAAATGGAAATTCATGCGTGAGGAATGATTCCCTAAGGAATTATCACATAGCGTAGATAATCTTTGGTTTTACAGTGCTCAATGAAGTTCAATGCCTAAACTAAGCAAGCAAAGCTTTTAGGATAAAATCAGTGAGGGTAGCGTATCATGCTGAAAGATCTGAGGGAGGCAAGCAATGAAGGAACTTTGGAGTGGAACTCGAAGGAAGATTCCACGACAATCCACTGGTATCTACAAGATATCCTCTCAGCTGATCCTTACAGTACAGTAAATAGATGGTTCACGCATTACAACTAGGAAGGCATAGCGGCTGCAAGCACACGTCTGCTTCTCCGCCCACTTGATTATCGCGGAATATCTCACGAACACATTGAACGCGTGCATTGCAGGCTGCATGTGGTTTCGTTTCGAGCTTTGTGCATTGATAGCAATGCACCACACTCAAACGAGGGTAGCAGCGAAAACGATGTACTATGTAATAAGAGGACAATTTTGGAAAATGTAGTGATATTCAGTGAGAGTAGGCACTTTACGGGATGGATTATTCCACGAAAAGCTTCACCCCTCCCGAATACGGCCGGTTGAAACAGCGAATACGGTCAGTGTGGAAGTAGGAGGTAAGATGAAGTGGTAAGCTTTCTTTCATCACACATAAAGCTGCCTCGTATAGGTGACCACCATTGCAGAGGTATGCTCATGAATACTTTGCCCAAAGAATGAATTGAGGAGATTATTCAGTGTCTTTTGAAGAGCTTTTTTCCCATGCAAAAAAGGAGGTTAATTGATGTATTCAGAGTACGAATTCTTAGTTGGCCTGGGCGAAGTACGCCCTACCGGACCATTCATTCGGTGGTGGTGCTTCTCGTCAGTCATTCCAGACGCGAAATGAAAAAAAACGTGTTAGGAGCCACTGAAAAAAATGCAGTGGAGAAAAAAATTTGACTAGGCGGAGGGGTACAGTTCTGCCGTTGAGGAAGAAAGTACAAAATACGAAACCTTCCCTCCACTAACCAAAAACGACCCCCTCGTTGGGAATCTCCAATGTACGACGTGCTCTAACTGTAGGTACCTTGCCTCGATAAAATTCTCTTCAAGGCAGGCCTCCCTAGGTGGCCTGGTCAACCACAAGCAACGCATCCTTTGAGGAACACTAGACATCCCCATAATGCAATCCAGAATAACGAGGTCAATAGCTTGAAGGCCTAAAAAAAGTTGTTTGCTCAAGTTGTAATACAAGCCGTCGCTTAAGTGAAAGGCTTCTGTTACAAACCTAGGCAAACAACTCGCATAGAAGCAAGTCAGTCCTAAGCATTTTGAGAACTACCGCAATCTTATGCTGAATACCTTCTGAATAGGTATATGGAAAAACACAAGATCTATATAGGACTTCCGACCCCTTTTCACTTGAAAAGGTTCTCCAGGAGGACAAGTAAAGGCGCTGGCATTCAGTTGGCGCTCGGATAAGATCCGCTCCTGCGAGAAACTGCGATCATGCCTCTGAAGGGGAATTTTCGCGATTAGCCGATTCAAGGAAGTGGTTGTGCGTGGGGTGGCGAGGCCCTCTTGGAATGATTCCCAAGAAGCAAGACTCTTCAGAAATGTTGCGCCTTTTCGCGGCTCCCAAGAGGGCAACAAGCGCTATAGCTTTATAGTCTGGTAGGTCCATGGCAGCCCTCATTAGTTGGTACGTGCTGGTTTGTTGTCTCGCTTGTCGTTCTGGCTTTCTTCCATGTTTCTGGACTCTAACCTCTGCTCAGAGGCGCCAAAGTCAACCGCCACGACGGTATAGGTCTCATTCAGGGCGTTTTCGATGACTATTTCTGTTTTGCCTTTGCTAGCGAATCGCTTAGTAATTGCAGCTTCATTCTTAAACACCATAACGTGCGAC